GCTGGGCCACCTTTGGGGGAGGGAGGAGTTGTAGTTGGGGGAGTGGGGGTCACTCTGGGGGATGGAGTAGCTGGGTCTCCTTTGGAGGACGAAGTTGCAGCTGGGGGTATGGGGGTCTCTTTGGGGGATGGGGTAGCGGGGCCTCCTTTGGGGGCTGGAGTTGCTGTGGCCTTTTTGGGGGAGGAAGAAGTCATAGATAGAGCAGGGGCCTGTTTGGGGGCTGGGGTAGCTGGGCCCTCTCTCGGGGAGGGTGGATTCACAGCTGAAGGAATGGGAGTCTCTTTGGGGGATTGTGCTACTCCTTTGGGAGACAGAGGAGTCACAGCTGAGGGAGTAGGGGCCCCTTTGGGGGATGGAGGAGTGGGACAATGCTTTGTGTTTGGTGAGTCTTTAGAGCCTTGAAAAGAAAGACTGTTCTCTGGAAGAAGTAAAGCTTCAATTGGAGGAACAGGGGATGAGAGATTTCCAACAGGAGTATCAGGGCCAGCAGAACCCTTCTTGGTTGGAGGTCTTTTAGTCTGAGGAGACACACTAACCCCTAAAGGAGATGGGGAGTCAGCTAGGTAAGTCAGAGTTCCTTTGGAAGATGCAGTAGCAGAGGCACCAGAGTCCTCAGTTGGGCACCCTTTAGGAGACAAAGCAACAGGTGCCAGTGCTGAAGTATGAGAAATACCATCAACCTTTTTTGTACCTGGAGGAGTCCCAGCTGGGGGAAGACAGGGTGAGGGCACAGACTTGGGAATTTCAGGGGCCAGCACTAAGGTAGTCAGAGAAGCAGAGGTATTCTGGGGGGATAGAGACACAGGGTAATTTTCTGAGGCTGTAGCAACCAAGGGTAAAGTAGTAAGAGTGGAAGTACCTTCCTTAGCTGGGTGGTTTTTAGGCGCTAAAGAGACAGTTCCTTCTAGAAAAGGGCTGGCCGTAGTTGTATAAGTTGAGGTACCTTTGGCAATTGTGGGAGCTACCCCAGCAGGTTTGGCACTTTCCAAAGGAAATGCAGCCACTGCTGGGGTAGTGAGAGAGCTTTTGGGAAGCAGACCAGCAGAGTCTGGGCCTGCATAAGAATCTGTCTTGATTACAGAGGCCGGGGATTTAACACCCAGGGGAGAGGTTGTAGAGCTGGCTGGTTTACCTACAGGGAGAGGCCCTCCAAAGCTTTTCTTTGCTAGGGTGGCTTCAGGAGAAAGAGATATCTCCGGAGAAGTGGGTGTACTTTGGAAAAAAGGAGATTTTTTCTGGGCTGCATGGGCTAATGGTAATACAGTAGAGTCTTTCTTGGTGGCAAGCTCTGCCTGGGCTGGAGAGAAAGGGGCTCCTTCAGGAGAGGCAGGTACAGTTTGGAGATCTTTTTGTGTTGGAAATTTAATCAATACTGAACTGGGGAGATTTTTGAGGTCTTTAAGGTCTGGCAGAGGAGGAGAGACTGGTATCCCCAGAGTGGTTGCGACTTGAACAGAAGGCTCTTTGGGAGCCACAGGTGCCATAACCAACACATCAGGGGAAGTTGGTTCTACATTGCCTATGGGACCTGAGGAAATTGGAGGAGAAAGACAAGTAGCTACCTCAAAGGTAGTAGGTGCTGCAGCAATAGTACAGGGGTTAGTCACCACAAGTGGGGTGGTTCCAACAGAAGAAATGGGAATCTGGGCCACTGAAGGATGAGTGGCATTAGGAGAGCTTCTGAGAATGAGAGAGGCTGTAGGAGATAATGAAGACGAGGTAGCTACATTTAAGGTGCCAGAAGGGCTGCAGGTTATGCTAGTGACGGTAGAGGGACCTTTGTCAACAGATGAAGCCACCACTGGAAAGGCAGCCACAGTAGCAGGAACTACCTCATTCCTGGAAGGAAGGGAAGGAATTACAGATCTCTGAGGAGGGTAAGAGGCCCCTGTGGAAGAATTATCTGTAGAAATGGTCTTTACTGTAGGGTCTAACAAAGCACCAGAACCTGTCTGACCTAAAGGTTGGACAGAACCAAAAGAACTCTGATGTAAAGGTGCAAGATGAGAGCCCAGAGAAATGGGAAAATCTGGGGTGGTGTTGGGACCCGCAGTCTTTTGAGAAGAGGTCATCAAAGGAAGAGACTGAGTTGCAAGAGATAAGGCAGCAGGCGGACTAACAGGCCCCTTCAGGCTGAGGCTTCCTGGGTTTTGTGGAGAAGTCAGAGCTGAGGAAGTGGTGGTATCTTTGACCTGAGGAGAAGTGATGGCTAGGGTAGTGGTGGGTGTTATCTGAGGACAGGAGGCCACTCCAGACTGAACAGAGGCCAAGGGAGTCACACAGTGGTAAGGAACAGCACTGACTATACCTGGAGGACTGGCGTTGCCTTTCAAGTTAGGGACTACCTGAGAGGGAACTTTAATAAGATTAGTCTTTGGTTCTGGGGGAGTAATGGGAGCTGACAGAGGCATCACTGACCCCGACTCAGCTACAGCCACTGAAGGCGGTGAAGTAAGGAGTTTAGGTGGAAAAGCAGAACTCTTCTGAACTGAGTGGGGAGCCAGGGCAACCAGAGCTAAGGGAGCTGAAGAGGAAGGGGTCCCTTTCAGAGTTGGAGCTATCATGGGAGAGGCCAGAGCTAGGGCAGCTGGGGAGATGGGAGGCCCTATTAGGTTTGGTAGGAAGGTTGGGGCTTCAGGGGAAGTTCCCAAAGGTAGAGTTGTTCCAGAGGATGACTGGGGAAAAGGAACTTCAAATGGGGTCGAGGCAATAGTAGAGGGGGAAGGGAATGGGGCAGCCTGGTTAGCAGCTGACAGAGGGCACTGTTGCAGGGTGGGAGAGCAAGGAGGGGGAAAGGTAGGTCCAGGCTGCCCTAAGGCAGCAGTGACACTCAAGGCTGAAGACATAGGTAGCACAGCTGGAGAAAGGCAAAAGGAGATAAAGAAGGGGTGGGGGGGGGGAGAAAAAAGGTGAGTTATGCAGCCCAACTTGGTACAACATACCTCATAGGAAGCACTGGAGTTTAAATCTGACAGTCTAAGTCACCACGCAGAATTAGATAAAGGTGACAGGCACCAACAACCTTCCCCAAACATTTTTCAGGGGTGAGAAGCCATTCCTCTCCTAATTTCTCACACATCCCAAGTTCTACCAAAGCAAATCAACTATTTTAGGGTGAGGAGAACGGTCTAACAGCAGCCTATCTCTAAATGGGGAGCACAGCCCCTTGGTAGGTTGGGAACATGCTTTCTACTCTTTCCCAGTGGTGTCCTCCCCTTGCTTCCTGAAATGGACTACATTCCCAAATCTTTCTCACAGCCAATAGAATTACCACTAGAACAGCTGTGCTACTCTGTCCACCCAAATATCATGAACTAACGGAAAGAGATACCAAAAAGTAGTGAGTAGTGGTAATGACGGGGAATCTGAACTGAATGAGAAAAAATGGGGTTGTATACTTTCAGACTTCCACTAGGCTAGGAAAAATTGGACTGTTAGAATAGTTTTGGGAAGTGGGTGCATTGCACAATTCAGTTCTTCCTAAAGTTGAAACTCTTCAGAATTTAATACCAAGTATTAAGTCAGTTAGCTTCTTTATACCTTACCAGTTTACTTACTCTCAAAACCCAAACAAGAAAACCAACCATGAAATGACTGGACTAAATAGTCTCTATAAACTTTCCTAGGTGATGTTAATTCTTCAGACACCAATCCAAGATGAATTAGACCTCCAGGCAGAGAGCTTACTCACAAGGGTAAGCACTGTATTATGAATCTGTAACCTAACTTGTTAAACCAGATTGTGGTGCTATTTTGGAAGAAGAGAAATGGAAGGCCAGGCGCTGTGGCTCACACCTGTAATCCCAGCACTTTGGGAGGCCAACGCAGGTGGATCAGGAGGTCAGGAGTTCCTAACCAACATGGTGAAACCCCATCTCTACTAAAAATACAAAAATTAGCCAGGAGGCTGAGGCAGGAGAATCACTTGAACCCAGGAGGCGGGGGTTGCGGTGAGCTGAGATTGTGCCACTGTACTCCAGCCTGTGTGACAGAGAGAGACTCCGTTTCCAAAAATAAATAAATAAACAATACAGAATTGGAGTGGCGAGAATATACTGGATCCCCACTTCTTACCCTGGAATTTAAGTATTTCATTCTGTCAAAATACACCAATATTTGGCATGACAGTATAACAGTAGCCAGGTGTGGTGGCTCACGCCTGTAATCCTAGCACTTTGGGAGGCTGAGGTGGGTGGATCACCTGAGGTCAGGAGTTCAAGACCAACCTGGCCATCATGGAGAAACCCCATCTTTTAAAAAACAAAAACAAAAACAAACAAATAAAAAAACCCAGTTATCTCTGGCATTCAAGAGATAACAGAGAATTGGATCAACAAATGCTCAATGCCTAGAAATGAATGTTAAAGGAGGGGAGGGAAGCTCATAATACTAAAATTCAAATTCGAAATTCACTCAACCAGTAATTCTGAAGTTCTTATGGCATCCTACTACGGAAAAGACAAGGTGGCTCAACCTGAGAGTGGACAGGCCAAAGTCTAACGATTACAGGAAAATACTACCAAGCATATTCATCAGAATTAAAAACATGGAATGTATTTTCTTCTGAGTGGACCTCAAGATGGAATAAGGCCTCGAATACTTGCTTTGACACCATAATCAATTCCTTGAGCTTCTTTCTTCATTCTAATAGACTATCATCACAGACAAAATCCTGTGTATTTATCACTGGGGTACTCCCTTAATATAAGTCTGCTGTACAACTCGCACTATTCAGGAATATATTTAATAGCACTAAGGACTGTTTCAGAAGTAAAGGCATTAGTTTTGAAGCTTGAATCAGATTATGCTAAATTCATCTGAATTTCAAGTCTTCATATTTGCAAAATTAAGTTGCTCAATTACACAATCTCTAAAATCTCGTTTAGTACTGAAATTACAGAATCGTTAAGAGATCAGTACTTTATTTTTTCCATTCCTTAGACCCCTTGTACTCCAAAAATTTCATATTGTTTATACTCCAGCTCAGAGCTCCCCTTTCTCCTTCCTAGCAGCTGTATTAATCCTTTCAGCTGCTAAAATCAAACAGGTGGGAAGAAGCTTAATGCTTTAAACTATAAGCAAGTCTACTGTAACTCCAAAAAGGGACAGGAATTGCCCTTAAATAACAAATGAAATTTTAAAAAATATCATAAAAAGGTGAGAATGAAGATTACAGCCTGAAGATTTTCTTCATTTAGCTCTGCACAACTGACTCAGAAAGGTTAACATTTTAAGAACTTCTCACCACCTCCTCCTAAGTTTTCTACAGAGATATGTTTTAACCAGAATTTAAAATTAGCCTTCACGCTCATTAATTTCAACACTGAGGATAAAAGAAGGATTTATTTCAATCCAGGGTTTCACACAATGATGCAGGAAGTATTCCAGCACACTAGAAATATCTCAACCCATAAACAAGTTATCCGACCTAGGAAGACTCTGGGGCCCAGTAGGACACATTTACCACCAGCACGCATCTCATCCAGACATGTGATAAAGGCACAATGCCAAGCTGTGCTAACTAAAACCTTGATGCAACTTGCTGACTGGAGCTTCACAAATGCTCCGGGCTCCTTGGCCTGTGTCATCCAGTTCCAATAGGTAAGAATAACCGAACCCCTTCCTTGCTCAGTTTTCCTTCGTGAGGTGGGGGTTCCACAGAAGAGCTTCTTTTGAGGCAACAGACATAACATAGAAAGCAAGCTAGAGAACTTCTAACATCCACGAATCTTAAAAATGTATTTTTACTCTATAGTATCTCCAGGATAGTAGTTAATTTAACGGTCTATCCTCCTTGGTAAATGGGCAACCCCATCCTCTTACAAAGTGTATTTTCCCTTTGTCATTTTGCCCACCAAATGGCCTTAGGGTCAATTTTAATTAATGGCAAAAGGGGTAGGGGAACCTACCTGTCTCAGCCTGGGGCTGCGGCAACTCCTGCTCTGTAGCAGGGACGGTTTCTGTGGCTTCGCCGGGCATTTCTGAAGGAATAAAAATGAGGCCTGAATTGACTGGAATACATTCACTTGCCCAACCCAGTTTTTAAAAGTATTCTTAAAAACTCTGCGGAGGGCTGTTAGAAAAAAATCGTGAGGGTGTTCGGGATCAACCTTCCCCAAAGAACCTGGGAATGAGAGGTAAATATGATGTGACCCTCACGTCTGTATCAAGGCCAGCAATTCCCAGTGCACTCTAAATTCGAGAAAGGATCTCAGTATGGCTTCCGATCATGGGAGACTTGAGACGCTACTGTGAACCCCCTCCACTCCTAATACATTGCCTGTGCTCCTGGACTTCACGTTTGCCGACTTTGGGGAGCCACGAGGGGAAAGACGGTGCTGTAAGTCCAACACTTGCTTGTCACAAAGGGAACGGTGTTGGGGTTCTAAGGCTGTGACCCCTTACCCTCTCTGGATCCCGTGAAGCAGTTCCCAAAACAAGATGCACTCCGCTTCCGCCCTCAACACTGCAACTGCTCCCATCTCTGCAGGCTCGGATTCCGGGCCCGGCCCGGAGCCCTTCTACCCTGCTTTTGCCCGGACTCCAACCGCAGACCCCATTTTGTCCGGAGGCCCACAGGCGAGTAGGAACCCTGTGGCCCCGTAAAGCCTCCGACTCTCCTTAACTCTCAGTCCCCGGGGCAGCTTAGCCTGAAAGAAAGGTGGATGGCAGCGGATAGAGAGTATCGGCGCAGAAAGTACTTACTGTGCAGGGAACGCGGAATCAAGATGGCGGCAGAAAGAGAGCGAGCGAGAGCGTGACCCACGCCTGTTGCAGAAGGAAGCCTGGAGCGGAGTGGGTGGGACTAGAATCCGATTCCGGGTCAAGAGCTGCCCGCAGCCACTTCCTTTGAGTGACCGTCGGGCTGTTCCCACGGCGGGGGTGGTGACAAGGACTAAATAAGGGTAAGAATTCAGAACAGGACTCGCAGGCCTGGCAGGAGCTCTCGGCTTGAAGCTACGCAGTCCTCAGTACGACGCCGACTCCGCCCTCCGGTCCGCCAAGTAGCGACTGCGGTATTAAGGCCACTTCCCGATTTCCTTTTCTCAAATAGTGCAGGGAAGATAAGACATTAAATAGCGAATGCTACAGAGACTGCATTCACAGCATTGGACGGTGAAAGTGACCTAGGCTAACCAATTATTTTTGGAACACACAGTGTGAAAATTAACATTTTAAAAGCTGCTGGACCCTCCCCCCCAAAAAAAACCCCATTTTAAACCGAGAGATGTGATGAAGCACATAAAACTTGTGTTCAGATTATTGATCTAACTCGATTTATTTTTCTTGTCCTGTTCAATGACTAAAGACACTCAAACGGTCACCAGATGGCAGCGACTCATGACTGTTAAACTCTGTGACAATGTTAGTTGTACCCCTCTCAAAATCGCTGCTTGTAAACATATTCTGTAATTATGTTCCAACTTTATATGGATAAAGTAATCCAGCTAAAAACTGTCTCTGCCTAAATAAATGAAATCTTAACTTCCCTACTTCTGAAGGCTGACCCCATTCTTTGGAGTTGGTTTTCTGGTTGGTCCATCCTCACACTGCCCTGGAATAAACTCTTTAAATATTCTCACCCTTTTAGGTTCACAACGAATTAGGCCGCTGTTGAAATTATAAAGTTATAAAGTTGCAGATTCTCCTTCCTAGAAAAAAAGAACATAGGCACATATACAATTCCTTTGCTTGCTATTTTGGGCACTTCTTGGATTTTTCTTTTGAAACTTTGGCTTTTGTTGCCCTTGTTGGTGTGCAGTGGGCGATCTCGGCTCACTGCAATCTCAGCCTTCTGGGTTCAAGCGATTCTCCTGTCTAGACCTCCTGAGTAGCTGGGATTACAGGCATGCGCCACCACGCCTGGCTAATTTTTTGTATTTTTAGTAGAGATGGGTTTCTCTGTTGGTCAGGCTGGTCTGGAACTCCCGACCTCAGGTGATCCACCCACCTTGGCCTCCCAAAATGCTGGGATTACAGGCTTGAGCTACTGCCTGGCACTTCTTGGATATTCTAAGCTTATTCATTCTAGGTGTCTGGGACCCCACCTTAAGAAATCATACTTTGTTCAACTGTATTCTTGAAAAGTAGGATGTAAAATCAGTGTTGTGTTAATGAAAAGGCTCCCATATCTTCTTGCAGCCCCACAAAAGAACTCAACAAATACATGCTGTACTTGAATTAGCTAAACCAGCCAACATTATTTTATTTATTTATTTTTTGAGGTGGAGTCTTGCTCTGTTGCCCAGGCTGGAGTGCAGTGGTGTGATCTCGGCTCACTGCAACCTCCTCCTCCTGCGTTCAAGCGATTCTCCTGTCTGAGCCTCTGGAATAGCTGGGATTATAGGCATCCGCCACACCTGGACTCCAGACCTTAGGTGATCTGCCCACCTCAGCCTCGAAAAGCGTTGGGATTACAGGCGTGAGGCACTGTGGCTGGCCTGATTTAATAGCTTTAAAATGACTGTGGCCTGCCCCCCCCCCTTTTTTTTTTTTTAAAGAGATGGAGTCTTACTCTGTTGCCCAGGCTGGAGTGCAGTGGCCTGATCTTGGCAATGGTGCCGATAGCTTGAACTCAGGAGGCAGAGGCAGAGGTTGCAGTGAGCCGAGATTGCACCATTGCAATGCCTGGGTGACAGAGCAAGACTCCAGCTCAAAGACAACAACAACAAAACCACCAAAAACCAATGAACCAACCAACCAAATAATGAGAAATTTTCTTTTTTTTTTTTTTTTAAGATATTTCGCTCTTATTGCCCAGGCTGGAGTGCAATGGTGCAATCTTGGCTCACTGAAACCTCTGCCTCTTGGATTCAAGTGATTCTCCTCAGTCTCCCAAGTAGCTTGGATTACAGGTGTGCATCACCACATCTGGCTAATTTTGTATTTTTAGTAGAGATGGAATTTTACCATGTTGGTCAGGCTGGTCTGAAACTCCTGACCTCAAGTGATCCACCCAAATCACCTGCCTCCCAAATCACTTGCTGGGATTACAGGTGTGAGCCACAGCGCCCGGCGGGAATTTTCTTAAAATATAGGTTAAGGAGTCAATGTGTTGACTGCATTACAGAGTCTGTTTCATATAAACCAAAAGATTAAAACAAAGACTAATTGTAGAGAAAACAATGTTAAAGGAAATGCAAAGGAAGGAAAATTTTCATTGTCATTAAAAGCACCAGCCTGACAGCTTGCTTCTCAAATTTTCTCATTAGACAGAATATAAACTAGAATGACTGTTTTGTTTAGATTGGTTGTAAAACAAGGCAAGAGAAATCTGACACATTAGAACCCATTTCACAAAATCAGACTTTAAAAATTGAAGTACCAGCTGGGTGAGGCGGCTCACCTGAGGTCACAAGTTGAGACTAGCCTGGCCAACATGGTGAAACCCTGTCTCTACTAGTAATACAAAAAAAATTAGCTAGGTGTGGTGGCACATGCCTGTAATCTCAGCTACTCGGGAGGCTGAGGCAGGAGAATTGCTTGAACCAGGGAGGTAGAGGTTGCAGTGAATCAAGATCGTGCCATTGTACTCCACCCTGGGCGACAAGAGGGAAACTGTCTCAAAAAAAAAATAAAAATAAAAAAAAATAAAAGGTAATCCCAGCACTTTGGGAGGCCAAGGCGAGCAGATCACAAGATCAGGAAATTGAGGCCATCATGGCCAACATGGTGAAACCCCATCTCTACTAAAAATACAAAAAA